TCTGACAGCTCTCCGAAAAAGGACTCAAACTCTCAAAGGAGTTCGGGAAGCATCGATAAAAAAGAACCGCACCCCCCACTTTTTATAATAACTTTGCATACTTAAATACCTCCGGTTTGAAAATCCGGACATCCATTTTAAAACGCAAGTCGAGATTTGGAACGGCTTTACATAACTCGGCCAAAGACACTGGGCACGAGTGAATGCGAAGAACTTCATGTTACGTCAAGAATAGTGTGCTGCTTGCCTGAGGGCAAGCAGCAATTACATTATTTTGTTAAACATATTCCACTACATCCTTCAGTAAATTTATATATTTGAAATGTTATAAATGCTTCTTTTATTTTCACTGTGAGCTTTGTAATATTTAGCTGACATTCGAGTGATACGTCCTAAAGTTAATAATTACAACACAGTCCAAATAATGTTTCTTAACATACACTTATTAAACATTTATTTGCAGTGTTGTAACACTGACTTGGACTCCAGTCGCTATTTTCAGCGACTCGACTCGTCATTGACATTGGACCAGTCATTGACTTGGACTCCAGTCGCTATTTTCAGCGACTCGACTCGAGTCCAATAGTGGCAATACAATTTGATAGAACCAATTGTCGATAGCTCAAGTATAACCATAAATATATATATATATATATATATATATATATATATATATATATATATATATATATATATATATATATATATATATATATATATATATATATGAGCGCTCTGGCATGGTTTTGATGGGTGTGAGGTATCATGAATGGGTGTGAGGTAACATGTCTGGATAGTGTATGAACTTGGCTTATAAGATTTCTTCAGACATAAAAATACACAAAGTATATTTTCCAAACGTTTCGCCTATTACGTCTTCTTCAGTGGAATGTTTTTACAATAATATTTCCTCCTATTTATATAAAACTAACTAAAATACTAAATTTACAATAAGTATGCTAATGTATATAAAAACATGCTAAACATGCAATTGATTTATTGCCCCGTAGTTTAAAATCCTATACAATGTTAATAGATTAAAATAATTCAAACACTAATTGTTCTACCAATACAACCGTTCATCCGCTCATGCAGAAGCCATAATTCAATTATTTTCGCACATACAGGGTGTATCAAAAAAAAGGAGACCTTTAGAAATCAAGCATATTGTTAAAATTTGAATGCCTTTTCAATTGCACATATGCTGAACCGTAGTGCGTGAAATATTGATGGATTCATATATTAGAAAAAGGAGACCTTTAGAATTTGAAATAGCGTTTTAACGAAAGATTGTCTGCTCCTGGGATGAATCTGCTATGTGCTTAGCAAAGTGCTCCTGGGTTCAAATTATAACAATGGTTGATTTCTCTTTAGAAATAATTTCTAATATATGCACTCCATCAATATTTCACGCACCACAGTTCAGCATATGTGCAATTGAAATGGCTTTCAAATTTTAACAATATGCTTGATTTCTAAAGGTCTCCTTTTTTTTATACACCCTGTACAGGGTGTCCCAAAAAAAAGTGACACTATAAAAATTATCCTATTGTTATAATTTGAATGCCCTAGCACTAAGTTGATCCCACAGGTGCATGAACTTCTGCTTCTGGAATTTAAAATAAAAAAGCAAACCGTTTATTAGTGTAATCGTTTTGCTTGACTCGGGCGTTAAAATATTTTGACAAAGCGAAAACGTTTTAAAATGCTTAAATGTAAATACCAGTTCATTAAATTCCCAGGCGTGTAATCACACGCGTTTAAGAGCGGCTTAAGAACAATGAGATAATTTCTATAGTGTCACTTTTTTTTGGGACACCCTGTAGATCAAAGAAGCTCGCCTCAAATAAAACTTTTAAAGTAAACATTGCCGACTATATACTGTACAAGGTGTATAAAAAAAACGCAACCTCGGAATTTCCTAAGAAATCACTTTGCAATTCTTAAGCATAAAAGATTTTAGGCCCCTGGGAATTGAAATCGAATTGCTAATAGATCATATTACTGTTGTTGTGCATTAAATAAATGCATAAATTTTGCTTTATGCACTCGCGTGTGTAGTAATTTTGACAGTTATGCTATTTTAAATTCCCAGGCGCCTAAAATCTTTTGTCTTTAAAACAATCATGTCGATTTCTTGGGAAATTCCGAGGTTGCGCCGGGTTTTTTTTATACACCCTGTACATAAGGGTAATTAGTCAACTCAATTTATAAAAGAATTTACTGAAGAAGAACAGTTGCCTGAAGATTGCATAACTGCATGAAATTTTACGTAGTATAACAGAACAGTTTTACGTTTGAACGAATTCTTGCGGTTCCCATATCATTGAAGTCGTTCATTGATCCAATTAATGACCCAAGTTGACACCACAATATTAAACACAAATATTTATTTTGTGGGAGAGGGGTTCGGGGTTGTGAAGAGTCCATTTACAGTATATGACAATCATCATGCCAACTCATATGTCACACCCTATTAGCTGCACTGATTCTGAACTGGCACTGATAATCTGACCAAGATTCACTTGGACAGTCCTAACCTGACCAACTAGAGCACAAGACCCCAGTATGGACAGTCCTTACCCTGACCAATCGGAGCGCAAAACCCCTATGGACAGTCCTTAACCTGACCAAACGCACAAAACCCATAAGGCCAGTCCTTAACCTGAACATGGCGGGTAACCCCCCATGGACAGTCCTTAGATTTAGATATATTATGTGTGACATATATTGAGTCTATGGTCCTGAAGTTGACATTTTATGGAGACTTCAACCCGAACCACAAATCTTTATTTGAATTACTCAACAAGAACTTACAAGCAAAATATTTTCCATGCACAATAATATCCATAATATCCACAATGAATTAGATAAGCTAGTCTACCAACAATTCAGAATGTCCTTGAGATCGGTCGTAGCATCCCTTTGTGCATAATCATCTACTGTATTATATATACCGATATACATACAATGCGTGTCTATCCATATCTTTCCATGGGAACGGGTATATTGTAGACATAAGAATGTTATTACTGCATTCCCTAATATTGTAACATTAAAACTTTAACTGTTTGTTTTAGGGTTTTTTGTTTTTTGGGGGGTTTTTTGGGGGGTTTTTTTTGGGGTTTTTTTCTTCTAAATTTTAATTTTTTAAATCCAGTCAAGGTAAGCAGAGGAGAGGTGGGTGGGTGGGAAAAATTTTTTGATAATGTTACTCTGTCGACGGCTCAGAGTAAATTACATTATTTTGCATGAACTCGTGCATGTTATGCGCCAATTAGGATGGGCTGTGTTATGGCCTATGATTGGTCAAAGCACAGAACACAGTCATACAAGGTTTTCAATTGGTTCACAGCAAGTTTCACGGTTTGTGCACGTGAATGCGTGCTAGCTGGCAGAAGATGATCTTTGACCTATATGTCAAGATCTTTGACCCAACTGTCAGGCATTAGGTTGATATAAACCAGGGATTCCTCCTCATCTTACCATTGCACCTTGTCTCATTAACTTAAATTTATATGGGCTATAAATTTGCTGATACGAAAATGACACGAAACTTTCCAAATACGTGCGGAATCTTGAAGCGAGCTCCATCGCATTCAGCAGGTGCATGCATGGAAAGCACTGCAGTCTAGGATGTGCTGAAGAAAAACTGTGCTTTGTAAAGGCAAGAAATATAATAAAACTTTAAAATTTAATCGAAGATTAGAATTATTCGCAAAAATTCTGAATTAGTCAGGATTATCCGCCACGCAGAAAAATTCCGCACAGGAAATTCAAGAGCGTACGTGACCGACGAACACGCGTCAGCAAAAAATTGTGTGTTGAGCACTCTTCGATTTGTTACAACCACAAAGCATGCATGGCATTTGTTCTATATAAACTCAGCCGCGGCAGGCGGAATTTTCTGCTTGTACAGGTTAAGTTAGTAATTGAGTTACCACATTGCAGCCAGGTAAAAGCACAGTTATATAGCATCATCGAACTATAGTAAAGAGAACAAACACAGTAATATTTAAACACTTATAGGCGGTGCTCATATGAACCTTTACACGAAGGGCTCTAATTAAAATCTCTATTAAAGTTTCTCTACTCTCGCTTTTGAGTCAAGATGGCGTCGGTACGGCATAACGAGACTCTGTATAGAATGTTTATGTTCTATCTTTGTTTCATTATTCTGATTGGAATAATGGGATTAGAAAAGCAAGAAGGATTACGAACTACCTCTAGCTCTCTCTCTATGTTGGAAAATTTCTTAGCACAACTAAAATAACAGCATTTTCAGACAGAGTGGTGACAAAACCAGGCGCTAAAATCTCACTGACTATGACAAAGGTCAAAGTTTGCTAGCTTCTACAAAGTTTTTTTAGCGACCCTGGTTCTATTAGCCGGAGATGTATCACCAAACCCCGGCTAGACTCTAGACGTTTTAAACCAGCCTGTTTTAATTAAAGATTGCACACCTCAACGTTCGAAGTCTGCCAAAGCATTTAGATGAATTCCGAATACTATTGAAAGACAAATTGAATCCGTTTGATGTGATGTGATGTGTCTAACTAAAACCTGGCTAAATATTTTCATCATGGGCTGATTCTGAACTAATTACGTTGATGGATATAACCTTATAAGGGCTGACCGTATAAATGCAAGGACAGGTAAAGGTACAGCAATTTACTTTAACTCTAAGAAGTTAAAGTAAAAGTCTTTGTGAAGATACTCGAGCATGCTGTTCATGCAATGGTATACTCGTATCTCCAAGAAAACCAACTGTTATCCATCTGGTAGTCAGGATATCGTCCGTTTATTCTACCAGCACGTGTCTAATAGATAATATCAACAAGTTGTCTCAAAACATAGATGAAGGAAAACTTACAGGAATAACCTTTGTGGACCTCACTAAGGCCTTCAATACGCTCGATCACAATACCATGCTGATGAAGTTAACTTCAATGGTTTTTTATAACTCAGCAGTTATTTGGTTTAGAGCTTATCTCACAAATAGATCTCAGAGTGTCAAAGTTAACGGAGTGGTATCTGATCCCCAACCCATTCAATTCGGTGTTCGACAGGGGTCATATTAGAGCCGCCGTTATTTATAGTATATATAAATGACCTATCAACCGTTATTCAGAACTTTGAACTACAACTTTATGCAGATGACACTTTATTTTATTCCAGTAGTGATTCTACAGCAACGATCGTATCTTGCCCACCTGAAGACCTAAATAACATTATAAGATAGCTTGAAAAGAACTCTCTTTCCTTAATTATGCTAAAACTAAGCTTATGCTTGTAGAAACGCATCAAAGGTTTGCCAAAGTGAGCATTTTCTGTATTGTAGCAAACGAGTACACTTTGAGCAGAGTATATCAGTTCAAATATGTCGGTATGATGCTTGATACATGTTTGTCGTGGAACGATCACATATATTACATTACCAGAAAAATATCGTCACGTTTGGGCATGTTACGAAGAGCACGTAAAGTTATTCCTCGCGCGGCTTGTATTACGCTCTATAATGCCATGGTACTTCCACTATTTGATTATTGCTCCAGTGTTTGGAAGAACTGTGGGAACGTATTCCATTGCACTCTTGGGAAATAGAATTTTCCAATGGTAAACACGCGTAAGGTGGATACATTTGAAATTTATTTTTAACGAAACGGCAATGAATTATGGCGCCAGCACTCATTTTAACACGCCAGAATACGAATCGTACACGATTAATGGTAGCGTGTAAACATAGCTTTAGGCCCTGTTTACACTATACCGGTTCGCTGGTCACGACATCTTCTTTTGCCGCTACGGAGCAATAGTTAGTCGCAAATGCTTATTAGTTTGATATAATTGGCATGTTTATTTGGGTCTCTGAGATTAAAAATCTTCACAGCCTTTCGATACCTACAAAATTTGACCCACTCAGCAATCCAGTATAGTGTAAACGGGGCCTTAATGTAATCATAATATCGCCATGCAAAAATGACAACAAAGAACACCACTTTACAAGATCAATAAGGCATGACCTCCTCAACGCCTCCCCGTATTGCTCCCTGACCATAATAATTATATAGGGTTGACTGTTCAATACCTTTCACAGAGCGTTCTGATCATTTGGCGGGCGGAGAGACAACAGTCAATTGCAACGGAATTAAATTCACGTGAGTGGATTTAAATATATCGTTAACTGGTTATACGTGTTCGTGTCATAAGTTACAGGTATATAATTGGCCTATAGTCTGAGCTTTGTGGTGTAAACAAACATCGACCCAGCCTAGAAAATCTGGGCCAAATGGGATCGTTGGCCTAGGCATGCATGGCTTAAGCTAAGCCTTGTGGCAATATACCAACAATACAATCGTATTACAATCACCTCGGCCTGGCCTTATATCAACACGGTCATGAAGGTAAAACTTTACTGTTTAAATTTTCAGGCATGCTAATTACCAATCTCAACCGAAGGTATTCTTCATAAAGAGCTTGTACAAGAATACAAACTAATCCACTAAAACAATATAAATGGCAAAAGCGTAGCTATATGATAAATTGCATAAAAGGTATACTGCCTTCAGTAAGAATCGACTTTACTGTTTACTGCAATTTTGTTTCATGCAAATGGCGATGGTATTCATGTTTGCCACTTTCAGTATGGCAGACCCACGTGAAAGTTATATCGCCAGGTTATGTCTCTCTTTGATATTTATCCTAGTCACAAGCCTATCTATAACTCTGTTAGACACGAAACTAAAAAGTAGGACCATCGCTCGAAATTTCGATGTTTTCGTAATCTGTCAAAATATGGTTACACCCAGCACTTATTACTAAGTACTGGAGATTTGCAAAATAATGTAGTCAAGTTATTACGTGTCAATAATATTGCTATATTATCAAAGATGTCAACGACAATTTTACGTTGAATCGAAAGAGAAAGAAGCTTGATTTTCTCTATTTCTTTCCTTGTACGTAACCAAAGGGGAAATTATGGATGCACTGAATCCCTGATCCCATGAAAGATAATTTTTGGCTACTTTCGTGAATAATTTGACATTTATGGTTGCACACGAATGATTGTAATGAATTCTGTCACATTTTTCCGATTTCGCAATTAGCACAACTAACTTCTATTCGTTAGAGATATGATTTTTTCCTGTGAAACCAAAGTGTTATTTGCTGTGTTCACTGTTTTCTCCAATACATTTCTGTACTAAAATTTCGCATTTGACTGAGAAAAAATATGAGCGGGATGGCAGTGCTAGCCAGAGGGTGCGCAGACTGTGCGGCGTCTGTGGTACCATAGATATAGGAGATCTAGATTGCTAACGCATACCTAGCGCAGGCGGGGCCTACATGATAAATCCAAGATGGCGGTACAAGAGGGCAAAAAGACTATAGATTCTATTACGAAAATCAATATTTTTGCATTTTTTGCCGTCGCATTGTTTTGAAACTTATTCGGTCAAATTTTATGGTAAAGAGAAACTTACCGCGAAGATTTTGAGCATATATATGATTGAATTGGATGAAAAATCGCAAAATTATCCAGCGATAAAAGTTCGTGTATAGTACTGATATAGTACTATATATGTAACTTGTACAGTTTTGCTTTAATTTTTGCTCACTATTTGCATAAAAAGCAAATTATAACAGATCATAGATGATAGACCCTCATCCAGTGCTCTTCTCTAACAAGCAAGGAGGGGGTACATAACAGTTCATTTTTTATAATTATGAGGACAGAGCAGATGATGATGAGAGATGCAAGTATAAAACACCATTCACAAGGCTAGATGTTAACATATCACAGTATTTCTGGCAATAAAACGCTCCAACTGACCAACTGACCATTTCACACGAACTTTTATCGCTGGATAATTTTGCGATTTTTCATCCAATTCAATCATATATATGCTCAAAATCTCCGCGGTAAGTTTCTCTTTACCATAAAATTTGACCGAATAAGTTTCAAAACAATGCGACGGCAAAAAATGCAAAAATCTTGATTTTCGTAATAGAATCTATAGTCTTTTTGCCCTCTTGTACCGCCATCTTGGATTTATCATGTAGGCCCCGCCTGCGCTAGGTATGCGTTAGCAATCTAGATCTCCTATATCTATGTGTGGTACTTTGTGAGGCTCAAAGTATATGAGTAGTATCTAGCTATGCTAATAAGTTCTTTGTAGCCTAGATACTGTGAGTTTTGTATAAAAATAAAGCGTATTGATGAACTAAAAGTGTGGTTGAAAAAACAAAAAAAAAGAAGAAAAAAAGCGACTATACACTGCAACCAGAGATTCTCCAACTGTAAAAACGACATAATGAATAAACGACCACTTAGAGGACGCCTTTGCTCGGAAGCTTGTGGCTTGAACACAAAAACTACAAGGGGTAGCAAATTTTCGAGTTAAGCCCTTCGAGTTAAGTCCCGACCACGCCCTTTCGCCCTTTCGAGTTAAGCCGCGACCACGCCCCTATCACGCCCATTTCCGTTGAGGGCTTAACTCGAAGTACATAACCCGAATTAGGTACTTCGAGTTAAGCCCTCCAGAAAATAGGGGCTTAACTCGATCAAAGTCAAACATTTTGTTCTTCGAGTTAAGCCCAAACGTTAGAAAGATGTATACGAGCGAAGCTTTTAATCTGATCCCAAACAAAATAAATTATCATTTGGATCGCGTTTCGTTTAATCACAATTCAATACGTTTTATTCAACCGACGTATTATATATATTAGGGACTTTAAGATTGACGTTTACGGCAAACCGCTAACCGCAAACTTCAAATCGTAATTTGAAGTCAACTGTTATATAGCTGTTCGAAGTTAGAGCAACTTGTGCATAAACATTGGACTATGAATTAGCTAAGACCTAAAGGAATAAAGATTTACCTTTTCTGCCGTAAAGATTAATTTTAAAATATTATCAAATTTTATACCGGTGTCTCAAAAAACACCGGACTCTGTTTGATTTCATCTAACTTAAAAGCTATAAAAGCTATTGCGATGAAATAAAGATCTTTGCATTCATAATGGACTAACTTAGATTTTGATATCCGCGCCGCCGTGTAATATCCTTTATATATATATAAGCTCTAATACTTGTTATGTTTGAAAAATATTTATTTCCCACCATGTGAATTGTTGACGACGCGTTCCGATCGTTTCGAATCTGGCGCAAATAAAACATTTATGTTGATTAATTTTAATTTTCCGTAACTCGTTTACAAACGTTGGGGCTTAACTTGAAGAACAAAATGTTTGACTTTGCTCGAGTTAAGCCCCTATTTTCTAGAGGGCTAAACTCGAAGTACCTAACTAACTAACTAATTATTTATATCTGCAACTGACAGGTACCCAGTCCATGACTGAGGACTGGAAAAATATTGGTGCATGATGGGGGTGATCAAGGCTCAAATTTAAAAAATCTGCAGCATAATTGGATTGATGTTTCGCATTCTGAATTATAAGTTCCAACTGCATGCATGACGTCGTAACTTGACGGCGGACTCACATTGATTGGTTTCAAGTGGAAAAAATATGAAAGAGTTCGAAGGACGATTACAAATTACACAATTAACCATACTATTCGTCTGTTGCTTTGCTTCTTTAACTGCTTCTTAACTTCGGGTTCTTAATTATTTGGTTCCTATTCCTTATACGGACTCTTATTCCTACTTCCTAGTCAAAAACATTTTTCTCCTTTTCCTGTATGAAAAAAAGCTTCTTTAGTCTATCGCCAGGAAATAGTTGTTTCTTTAAATGAATTTGTTTACTAATTTGATTTGTTTCAGAGACAAAACAAAGACGTTAAGAAATGGCTTACACTGCTTTCCCCGAAAACAAGTTACACTACTATGGTGAACTGCCTGACACAAGCGGTAATTCAAACAGATACGAGCTTTCCAAAAGCAATGTTCCCGATACAGCTAAGGAAATTCTCGTTTATCTCTGGGCCACAACCAAGGGTGATGAGGCATTTCATCGTTATTACTATCGCATCCAGACTACCGATGGCACACAGTTGTACAACCAATACATGAATGTTGCTGCTTCCAAAGATGTTTCTCTCAACTCCGCCAATTTGTGGCTGCCTGTTTTTAAAGGTCACGGTAGGTGATTGACCTTTTCATGTCCAGCTACGCCATCTTGAAGCATGATGCATGATGGTATGGCCAGGGGAAATAACCAAATCAAAAAGTTTTTTGTGTCATGTAAAGATACCCGTGAACTTAACTGTGCTATTGCTGTCATCAACAACCACAAAAATATATAGATCAGTTTCACAAGCGATACGATGGATGCATTTTTTACGTGCAATCCTGGAGTTACAATTCCCATCTTTTTTCAGGTCCTCTTTTAATCCAATAGACTGGAGGGAACTTGTCCCTGGAATCCCCTCCTAACCTGAATGTTGACACTCCAGTGATCTATGTTGCCCCCAGTTAAGATGCTTTCTGTCTAAAAGATAAGCAAAAAGGCAAAAGGGATGGCTATATTTACATTGTATCGGATAACTTGCGTAGCGACGCAAAAACCATATAGCGGCGTTTCGCTCTTCCAAATGATGAGAATTGTGCTGGATTGGTTTTTGCAACGCTGCCATTGTAATGTAAGAACCAATCGCAGCCTAATATTTGGGTTCAATACGTGATTTAAGATGGCTTCCAGCAAACAAATATCAGCTATTATAACGTTATTTATGGGTATAGCTTCCTCACTCTTTCAAATGACATCTGCAATATTTTTGTTTTTGGTAAATATACAAGTGAAAATTAAGACGAAGGCATAGAAGGGCGGGGCGAAAGGTGTCTACACTAGTAGTATAGGAAGTAGCGGTTCTAGACCACTTTTCAAAAATCGAGTAAGGGCAGTTTTCTTTCACCAGGACCCTCTACAAGCAGCAATTTGCTCATTCTAGACGGCATCTGAGATTTTTGTCTAAAACTTAATTCAAAGCTAAATTATCAAAAAAATCGAATAAAATAGGTTTTTCTTCACCGGGACCCTCTACAAGCAGCAATTTGCTCATTCTAGACGGCATCTGAGGTTTTTGTCTCAAAATTAATTAATTCAAGCTAAATTATCAAAAAAATCGAATAAAATAGGTTTTTCTTCACCGGGACCCTCTACAAGCAGCAATTTGCTCATTCTAGACGGCATCTGAGGTTTTTGTCTCAAAATTAATTAATTCAAGCTAAATTATCGGTAAAAATACCCGTATTTTTGACCTAATCGTGAAGGTCATACAAGGTCATGAAGACCGCTGACCACTACATACTACAATTTTACTTGCAGGCTCAGTTTCCCTGCATATCAACGGAAACTTCTATTGTGAGGCCTATCTGACAACTTTTAACTTACTCCCATGTAAACACACATCATACTCATAAAACCTTCAGATACCTGTTTCAATCACACATAATCAGTCCCCACAAACCCCACAAGGACTAATTTTACTATTACACGGATATTCTAGTAAAACTCAATCATTCACATCACCATTCCTGCAATCAGACTGTGATATCCAGTGAACCCATCATAAGCTCACGTTAACGAAAACTTCTATTGTAAAGCCTATCTAACAACTTTTGACTTACCCCTATCTAAACGTAAGACGTGATCACAAAACTACCAGTTACCTGTTTCAATTACAGTTAATAGTTCCCAGTTACTCTCACAGAGGCTACTTTTATTACCAGATAAGAATTCCATTTGAGTGACAACTTTCATCGTCAGAATCACAGTGCTAACATCCAGAGAGAGCTTATGTGTAAACACTATAAATACGAGTAATTTTTTCAGCACTCTACGGAGCGGGACCATTTCTAAATTAATTGATAGATAAATTGTCATAAGAAATACGGGTAAATTCCTCAGTCATGGAAACCACCTTTACCCCCACACCAGAAGTTTAACTAAACGGAGTTTCAAGTAATAAAAATCAGCAGGCACAGTACGGTTTTCAGCCCCCACCGTACCCCGTCGCTGGTCCACTCGTAAAGCAGTCGTAACCCTTATACCTACCACGGAAATCACAGGCTTGTCCCCTTGAATGTGACCTCACACATCCCAACTTTGGGGTAGTAACTTTAGAGCAACCACCACATATTCTCCGTTTACAACGGTCGCGTATCTCATTAGACCCTGATATGAAACGGTTACCGCAGTTTCTGCAAGAGCTTCCATAGATATACCCATACTCTTCCCGCACTTTATCAGACACACCACCCGAGTGGTCAACCTTAATTCTAGCATCAGCAATTTTTTCATCCAGGTTCAGTTTATTAAGTTCATTTCTTTCCTTACACTTCCTCACCAACCATTCCCTGTAGTATTCACATCCAACAGGCTCCCAGCCGAGTTTAGGATATATTTTTCCATAGAGTACATCCTCCGCACGTAGAACGACATACTTTTCCCTAGCATCAGCAATACCTGTTTCAATACCACGCTCACTACAAATTCTAACAGCAACAATCTTCAAAAGTGGCATTTTAATTTCATCCATAGTATCAGCAGTCTTCCCCACACTTTCAAGACAGTTAACTATCGTAGAGTAGTTTTCACCCTCATGATACATTCCAACAAGCCTTTTGATATCACCCCTTTTCCAGTTCTTCATACTTATTATACTAGAGGTAATAGGGAATTTCCAATCTTAGCAGGAGAAGCACGAATTGTTATTTACACCGCAAAAGTTTACAGGCAGGCCGCACAAGTACCGCGAGATTTGGGGGAAATCCCCCAGCAAGTCACAACTAGTACCGCAAGATTCAGGGGAAATTCCCAACTTAGTATAATCAGCTCGCAACCTCAGGGAATTACCACCAACGTGAACGATTCGTTCACCATCTACATAGATAACTACATAGATGACTACATAGATGACTACATAGATGACTACATGGATGACCTTACAAGTAGACTCAAGACATTTACATAGATAACTCATAGATGCTCAAAGATGATCTTGCAAGTAAATCTAATTAAGACATCTCAAAGTAACTCCTAGACGACCTCACAAGTAACCTATAGATATCCCACCAGTAGATCTAAGACATCTCACAAGTAGATTCAAGTTACCTCAGCAGTTACCTTGCAAGTAGATTTAAGATATCTCACAAGTAGATCCCAGTTATCTCACCAGTTATCTCACCAGTAGATTTAAGATATCTCACCAGTAGATTTGAGTTACCTTGCAAGTAAATCATAGATATCTTACCAACAGATTCAAGTTATCTTACAAGTAAATTTCAAGTAGATTTAAGTTATCTCACAAGTAAACTTCAAGTAAACCTCAAGTAAACCTAACAAAATGACCATCATCCCGCTCTCTCATAATATCTCCCTCATAAACTCCACCATCATCATCCTCAACAAACTCCTGTAGATAAGGAGCCGTCCATCTCTTCCGCACACATCGCGCTAACATTTTCTTGTGCTCACGAGCCTTGTTCATATACATCCAAACAAGACCTAAGCAAACTATTGTAAATATCAGATTTGTCTCCTCCATATAGTAATCCTAAGGTTTTACTCAAGGCCCCGCTTCTCAAAACCGGTTGGCCCCCGACTCAGGTCCCACTTCAGATTTCCCAAAATCAGCTTCAACAAGAGGTGACTCGAGGATACCATTCTCAAAATTATTAAAATGGAGGGCTGCCTTATGGTTACACAATCAATACGGCAAATCGCTCAGATCACCTCAATATCACACGTTTTAGTTCTCACACAACACTCACATACAACAAAAACATAAGTATCACAACATAACTTCCAGACGACCTCATGAGTAAACTCAAGATGCTCCAAGTAAACCCAAACACTCCCATCACATAATTTCACAAGTAGATCTGAGTTATCTCACCAGTTGGTTCTAGTCATCTCACCAGCAGACCTAAGGTATCCCACAAGCAAGTCTAAGTTACCTCACAAGCAGATCCAAGTTACCTTACCAGTTATCTCAACAGTAGATTTGAGACGTTTCACCAGTAAATTTAAGTCATCTCACCAGCAGATCTGAGTTATCTCACCAGTAGATTCAAGTTATCTTACAAGTAGATTCCAAGTAGATTTAAGACATCTCACAAGTAATCTTCAAGTAAAACTCAAGTAGATTCAAGTAAACCTAACATAACCCCCATCATCACGTTTTCTCAGAACATCTCCCTTATAGATTCCACCGTCGACTCCCACATTATATTCTTGTAAATAAGGAGCATTCCAACTCTTCCTCAAACTTTTAGGAAACTCCCCCTCCGCAGGCTTAAATGACTTATTCATATACATCCAAGCTAGACCTAGAGAAACCATCGCAAAAATAAAATTTACCTCCATATACAAATCCCGAGGTTTCACAAAGAGGTGGTACCTAACTTAGGTACCACGTCCAAGATTGGGAAACTAGATTCTGACAAGAGGGGCAACTTACCCCTCTTACACAACCGCTGGAATGAGGGACTACCTTACAGTAGTTTCAAAGTTTCACAGGTAAGTATCATCCATGATTTCCTGAATAAGGGTGCCCTCGAGGGAACCATTCCCAAAATCAAAACGGA